AGGAAGACTAAAATGGTAAGAATAGTGTGGAACAAACTTGACACCTCTAGAATATCTCCCTCCACTGGTGGCATCTGCATTTAGATCATTAAAACAATCTATACTGTCAGTCTCCACCAGCACTCTTCAGTGCCATCTCAATTCACAAATAGCCATAACAGTGAAGACTGCCCTTTTCCATCTGCAGCTGGCCAGGAGACTGCATTTAGTATTGTCAGATTCAGATTTAGGAGGATAGTTAATGCATTTGTGACCTCTAGGATTGATTGACGTAATTTTCTGTACCTACATTAAAAAAAACCACCACTTTAAAAAGTGGCCATTGGTTCAGAACACAGCAGCTCCTTGCTCTGTATTGCAGAACACTCAGATAGTGTCTACATTAAGATGAGATCAAAGCAGCCACAGTTGATCTTCTAGGATTCGAATTAGTGGATCTAGTGGAGACATGCTAATTTGAACTGGATGCGCCTGTTAATGTTGGTAGTCCTGATTCTATGAGAAGTAAGGGAAGTCGAAGGGAGTGTGTTCTCTCTTCCACTTCCCGCAGGGTTAACAGCATCAAAATTCCAGTTAAGATACTTCGACTTAAGCTACGCAATTAACAGCTGAAGTTGCATATCTTAATTCAAACTTATCCTCTAGTGTAGACCAAGGCTGAGAACACATCACCCCAGAGTTACTCTCTTTCGTTATTCTTCTTCTGAATATCACATTACAATCAAAGTTTTGGCTCTCATCCTCAAAGTTCTCAATAGCACTAGTCTAGTCTGACAAACTGCCTCAGCCTGCACAGTCATGACCTCCCACAACAGCTACATATCATGGGAACAATGGAACTCAAAAATTACATTCTTATGTACAGAAGACAGAGCTTTCTTGGCAAGCTACCAGTGAATCTGGAACTCACTCCTCGAAAACATGAGGGTAACCACAAACCTCAGCACCTTCCAAGCAATATGCAATCCTTTCTTCAGCTTTGGCTTCCCACAATTACACCACAAACAAACACACCCACACCCGCCTAATTGACTACAGTGGAGAGGAAAAAAAAGCCATGCATTTGCTTCACAAATTCACTCAGAGGAGCCACTGAAATAGCAAAGTAAACTATTCAGTAGATAAAACCTAGATAAAAGACACTGGTATTCTATAATCAGCTAAGCAAATGAGAGGCTTATTGATAGATTTTCAATGAAAGTCCCTTCTTACCAACCATTGGCTATCAGCTACTTGGATTACAATTGATTAAAGGACACCCAAAAAACACAAAGAAGCCAATGGCTCCCCAAAGTGAAATAATTGCATTCTATCTACCATGTTGCAGGTTGTGATCATGAGAAAAAGGGTAAGATTGGGTTTGCCTAGAACACACTGGATTCTCATTTACTCCCATGAGAATCAGGAGTCACTCCAGTGAAATTAGAGGAACAGCACTAGTGTAACCAAGAGCAAACTCAGGCCCATGTGCTTAGGAAATACAGAGATCAAATGTTACAGTTCTATATTTACTGTAGCCAACAGGCCTGATTCACTATTGCCCTACATTTGGTGTAGTCATTTACACAATAGCATAGTGGGTACCAAATGCCATCAGGACAGATTGGTAGCATTTTTCTGCAAGACACAACATGCAAGGTAGGGGAGAATCATGACAATTATAAAGATAAAGCAAGAGACCAAGGATATACATGAACAGTTGTTAATTTAACAGCAGACATGTGCCATGTAACTGACTGAAAATATTATGAGAATGTCTGCTGACCTTAATCTGTGCAAAACTGACTAGTCTTTAGAAATGCTTTGGCGTGTCAATGTAGCTAGCCTGTCAGAGAGTTAAACACTTGAAAATATTTGCAATCTTACATCTTGTACTTAATAGTTTGATCTTTATTAAAAGTTATGTTGATTTAGCTGATATCCCAAAATAGGCCACAAATAATTAAAGGAAATTCCCAATCAGTTGATGGGCTAGCTGAAGCAAGTTAGCCTACAATCTCACTAATGTTTGGTCTGAACTACACATTTTTCTCCCAATCCTAATCTGAAAGGATCACTTTAAGTTTGGTCTGAACTACATATATTTTTCTCCCAATCCTAATCTGAAAGGGGCCCTGGTTTATCTTCTTAAAAGAGTAGTATTATCTAAGCAGCAGCCATCCCAATCAGAACTTCCACAAACCAACTCATTTCATATTGTCATCAACTACACTCTGAAATAGTCAAACTCGGTGCCTGGAGGTTGAAAGCTTCTGAACCCCATGACCAGTTGCTGAGCTGTGCCACCACTTTATAGTCATGTTTTTAAATCAGTAGGTCAACAGCCCACCTATTCTATTTTTAAAAACTTCTGTCACAGTAGCTACATTTTCCATCCTCCTATTTTTGTACTCTTTAGGCAGAAACAAAATATAGTACAATCCCCATCTACATTGCAGGGTGGATAGAATTGCCTTTATTGACAGTTAGCTGAGCACTTTGAAACACTAAACAATCTTTGCTCAATTATTTTGTGCTGGAAAAAAAGCTGGAAATGTAGCTACCTGCTGCAACTATTTGTTAAAAGATCTCATTAAATACCAGGATTACTTTAAAAGAAACCCTGTATATATCCAATGGGTAAAGATAAATGGCCATAATCATTCAATACTCAAGACTACACAAAGTGGGTATTTTGTATCTATACAGAGGGTTCTTAATTGAACTTTTACCCCAAAGCTAAGCTTTCCTGTAGCTAAAATGCTCCCTGATGCCATGCTGGGGTCATGTTCCTTGTCAGGAAAGCAGAGCTTTAAATTTTAACTAATTGTTATCCCCAGCTGCCTTTTCCCCTTTTATTAATGCCACTTTTAAAATAGTTTTTTGTGTGTGCAATTGTTTGTCAGCCACCTCATAATTCCCTGACACTATGTAATGAAGTTCAGATATAACACAGCTATATTCCAAGCTGTATGGCATTAATATCATTGCATCAGTCAAAAGAATTTAGCCCCGGTAGCTATAATACAGGCAACTCAGTGGTAAAGCAATATAATTCCTTATACAGTCATTAAGTTAAGGATAACCCAGGTGATTAATAATTAGGTATGGAGACTTTCATAGTTTGGTGGAGATCAAAACTTTTTCAGGCTGAATTACATTTGTTGTCTCAGCCCCAAACACAAAACTGGCAGAAGGGAAAAAAGCCCTTAATAGGCATAATCTTTAGTGACAATAGAAAAAAAAAAAAGTCAAGGACTGAATGGACCATGGAAACTGGGTTCCCTTCATCTTCAGGGGGCCATCCTTTCAGCTCAGGTTTGAGGTATACTGAGAATGGGGCCCCAAAGGAAAGCTTATACAGCTGCCTGTGCTGTAGCACTGGGAAGAAGCATCAGCAGAATTCAGCCCATAGGGCTGTCAAGCTGACGCCCTTCTTAGGAAATTCCCTTACTAAAAATTGAAGAAACCAAACAAATGGAGTGATGTTGGTATAAATCTCTCTGAATTGACCATCCTCTAACACTCCAGATTTCCAAGGCATTACATAGACTGATTTCTGCTAGTCTCACAAATAACCCCCTGTTTTGGGCTGCCATCTAACTGAACATGGACTACAGCATAGTGCATTCCAAAAGAAATGAATTTATGTCAGTGTAGTTCATTAAAAAGAGAGAGCCTTCCAGTCAGGCTCAGTATTGTATATGCCAACTTAATCTAGCTGGACTCCTCTGTGTCCTTAGATCTAGGTGTTACCATTTAAATAGCACTTTTCTCCCCCAGCAGGAACACTTTAAGGCTTCCCAGCTGACAGAGTCACTTAATCTCTGCAGTAAATGCCAAGTGTCATTTAAAATGCCCCATTATTACTATTTTTGGCATTCATTATGAACCATCTCATTATAATTCTTTTGGCATCTGAGTGTTATGTGTTCCAGGGACTCTGATAAAAGTTAGTGTTAATTACCACTGTATGGAGTTAAAATGAAGTGTGTCACTATAAATTCTTAAAATGTGGGATTGTACAGTAATGATCAAATCAGATGTTGGACTTAATAAAGTGATATTTTCCACAGAAAAGTTTATTAAAATTTGTGCGAGTGGTGGAATTTCATATTCTAGGCTTACAAAAGATAAATTGGGTGAAACACTTCCCTATCAAAATGTCCCCACTCATTTACTCATGTTACTCAGAGCCAATCATTTAAGAGGGACCTGGATACAACATTCACAAGTGTATAGGGGAGCCATAAATAAATCAGTTTGTTCAAAGTCCTCTTATGTTTTGAGTTGTAGCACAGCTTTTATTTGAGCTTTCTGCTTTGTTTATTGATTTTAACAAATAATTCCCTCCTCTCTCTTTCTCCCAGGGATGATAATGACAGCTGTTAAATATGCTGTTGAACTTTAAGGGAATATTTCCAGGCATGATCATGGAGTGCAGAACAATTCTTCATTTCCTAGGCCCCTTGCAGAAGCTTTATCAATTGAAATTACTCTAGCAATTGCTAATAACCTTTAAACAATTTACCTAGGTCATTTCTTCAAGCTTTTTCCTAATGACAGCCTCTTTTCAAATGTTCCAAGCATGTGAGACTGGGTTTGAGCTGTTAGTGTGAACACCATTAAAGGAATATTTTGGAAGCTGTTCTTCCTCCCCTAGGGCTCTCACCAGCCTGATGCTGGTTAGCCTTGAAAGTCAAGGGCATCTGGCTCTAGGAATAAGAGAGACGATCGCATCTTTCTCTGTAGCTGGGGCTTTGTAAAATGAAAAGTCACTTTCACTAATCTACAGAAAATCCAGCGGTTTTACCTTTAATCCGCTGTGATGCGCTGGGAAGAAAAGAAAAGGAAAAAAAAAAAAAGCCCGAGCCAGCACCCCCTCCCGTCAGCCAGAGCAAGACAAGCTTGGAAAATTCAGCCTCTCCGGGGCTAGATGCCAGGTACTCATCTTAGCCCTTCTGCGTCCAATCGCACGCTTCCCCCCTCCCCCCCCCCACATCATATTGTTTCATACTCACCATATCATACACATTCAAAATCACCGGTTCATTTGCCATTGTTGATTGCGGCGGGCACTGGATGTGCACCCCTAAATCCCTGCCAGATGCGGCGCTGCCCCCAGGGTGCGCTTTAGCCCTCAGCTACCACACACCCCCAACTGCAGAGCCAGTCCTGGGGGGTCTTTCTAGGGCTGCAGCTCATCGGGGGGACTGCCCTGGTGCAATACCCTCCCCTAGCACCCCCAGCCCTGCCAATGCAAACGGCAGCCAGGGCAGGCTCAGCCCCCTCTCCAGGAGGGGTGACTGAGTGAAAGCGGTGCAGACTTCCACGCAAGAGCGGTGTCAACACGGAGCAGCCAAATGCGGAGCAGCACCGCGCTGGGGAGGGTAACTGAGGGGAGACTCAGGTCCAGAGCGCCGCCCGTAGCCTCCCGGGGTCCCCGCTTTGCACCGCCGCGGCGCTAGGGAGCGGAGCCCGCGCTGGCGCCGCGTCTCGGGAGCTGTCCGGGCGCTGAAGTTTCTCTCCGGGTCTCGCCTGGGCCTGCGCGCG